TGAGGACACAACACGCATGTGCCTTGTGGAGCCAGAGTAAGAATGTAGGTCCTGTGTGACCTCAGGGGCCCCTTCCCCAAAATCTCTGGCAAATTTCCCTTTTATAGATGACTGAGGGAGAAAGGCTCTAGGGCATGGTGAGACTCCTCAGAGATTTGTCTCCAGAATTTCCACTGTGGGGATTGTGATCACAGCTGTGCCTCATCTCCTGGCCAGGCTATAATAGGAACAGAATGATTCCATCCACACATATGCTGGGCCTTAACCATGTTGGTTGAAGTTTCTGTAAGGAAACAGAAAGAGCTTTACCTCAGGTGTTAAGTCTGTGCCTAAACTTGTATGGATGCAAGAAACAGACTACTTCTCATGGGATGGCAAGTAGCAATCATCTTTATTTCAAAGGGTCTTTTATGGTCAGTAAGTCACATACACCACATCAATCAATGATCTATAATTAACATTCCCTATTCTATCCTAACCTTAAAAGGAAACACTGAATCCAGAAAACTGACTTAAAAACAACCATATTATTTCTTAAGCAACCACGCATTCTAAACTTTATTTATATAGGGTAAAAAATCAACAGATGGAGCAAGGGGGTAATCTATTTTACAAGCACTCAGTTTAGCTCTAAGAATTAAGTTTTACAGCTTTGTTTTCAAGGAGCTTGGAAGCCACCCGCTGGAGGACTTAGTTTTATACATACATCACCTTAGACTTATTCCCCTGCACAGACGGCTATCAACCCTTATCTGCTTGGGCAAACAGCAGTGCAGTCAGTGTTCAATACAGAAGGTTGTTAATCCTCTTCTGTAGGCTCTGGCCTGCCTGTTTTCTAAGGCTCAAGGCTTCAGACAAGATCTCAATACTTACAAACTGTTGTTATTACTTATATTCCTAGTTTTTCAAAAGAGTGCAAGTAATGTGGAAATTATCTCACATAACCATCTATAAGCCCTTCTTGGACCAGATTTGGGCAAAACCATTAAAGACGATAAATAGTTGTGATAAACAATCTAGTGCAAATGTCCTTATGATAAAATGATTTTTTTTCTTCTGGGTAGGTGCTTGGTAAGGGGCTTGTGGGATCAAATGAATGGTCTATTTTGAGTTCTTTGAGGAATCTCTGTACTTCTTTTCAAAGAAGCTGTATTAGTTTGCAGTCCCACCAACAGTGTAGAAGTGTTCACTTCTCTCCATATCCATTTGCACTAGATTGTTTATTGTAGCACAATTTACAATTACCAAGATGTAGAAACAACCTAAATGCCTATCAACCAAGGAATGGATTAATAAACTGTGGTATATGCACACCATGGAATGCTATTCATCCATAAAAATATGGAGACTTTATATCTTTTGTATTAACTTGGATGGAATTGAAACACATTATTCTTAGTAAAGCATCACTAGAGTGGAAAAGTAAGTATCCAAGGTACTCAATACTAATATGAAGTCAGCAGACCAGTGGTTCTCAAACGTCCTAATGCCATGGCCCTTTAATACAGTTCCTGTGTGTCATGACCCACAGGTTGAGAACCGCTGCAGTAGGTGAAAAAATACACACATAAGAGACACACCCACCAAATTCAAATTGGGGGGAGGGGAAATGAGGGAGGAAGGAGAAAGAGGAGGGAGAGAGATTGATATGTTCTCACTTATTGGGCACAATGTAAGGGTATATGACACAACTTCTGAATGCAGGACATAAATACACTACAACATAGACTATCCCTAACAAACACAAACATTGTGACCTAATTGTTTATGCTCTCACATTAAATTGAAATTAAGAAAAAAACACCACAACATGATAGCAAGTTATAATGCAGTTTATTTCTATTAAATTGTGAAGATCTGTTGTAAAACTAAAATTTATTCCATTAAATAAGCTTAAGAAGAAATTGGCCTGGGAGAATATTTTATGAGGAGGACCCCTGGGCAATTGAAGCAACACCAAAAATACTGAGATTTGATCAAACTAAAAAGCTTTGCACAGCCAAGAGCACAATAAGTAAAGCAAACAAACAACCTTCAGAATGGGAGAAGATTTTTGCAGGTTATGCTTCTGACAAAGGTCTGATAATTAGAATCCACAGAGAACTCAAACGAATCAATAAAAAAAAGAACAAATAACCCCATTTCCATGTGGGCAAGAGACTTAAACAGAAACTTCTCTGATGAAGACAAGCTAATGGCCTACAAACACAAGAAAAAATGCTCATCTTCCTTAATCATCAGAGAAATGCAAATCAAAACCACTTTGAGATATCATCTAACTCCAGTTAAGATTAGTTCACACCACAAAATCCCAAAACTACAGATGTTGGCATGGATGTGGAGGAAGGAAACACTTCTACACTGCTGATGGGAATGCAAGCTAGTATGACCCTTTTGGAAAGAAGTTTGGAGAATACTCAAGGAACTAAAAGTAGACCTACCATTTGATCCTACAATTCCTCTATTAGGTATATACCCAGATGATCAAAAATCATTTTACAACAAAGACATTTGCACCAGAATGTTTATTGCAGCCCAATTCATAATAGCTGAGACATGGAAACAGCCCAAGTGCCCACCTACCCATGAATGGATTAATGAATTGTGGTATATGTACACCACGGAATACTATGCAGCCATTAAAGATGAAGACTTCACATCTTTTATGTTTACCTGGATGGAGCTGGAGTATATTCTTCTTAGTAAGGTATGTCAAGAATGGAAAAGAAAGTGTCCAATGTACTCAATACTACTATGAAATCAATATATAATCACCTACACATTCATATGAATGGTAAAACATAACTATAGTCCAGAAAGTAGAAGGGAAGAGGAAAGAGTGGGTAAGATAGAGGGGGGTGATGGGAGGAGAGAGGGTATTTGGGGGAACCTCACCTAATGTGCTTGATGCAATGGTACATTTCAAAACTATTAAGAAAAGAGTATAATTGCTATGGATGTGTTACTTAGTTCAATGTAAGCATTTCGCATTGTATATCAAATCAATACACTGAAACCCATAAATGCATCAATGTACACACTTATGATTTCATAAAAAATATAAAATTATAAAAAATAAATTTCACATTTAAAAATAAAAGCAAATAAATAAGCTTAAGAAAAATCTTTCAAAAAAATAAAGAAGACAAAGAGGCAATGTCTCAATTTTGAAGCAATGGAATGGGAGTAAGACTCAGGAGCAGAAGGGGTAGTGGGCAGGGACTCACAGGTGGAGGAAAGTCACACATCAGTGAGGACACGGTGGTCAACTTGCCTCGAGCCAGCTGAGTGGTTTACCAGCTGTCTGCACAGCACCCTCCTTCTCAGCACATCACACAGCATCCCCGGCTGGCCACAGGGCCCATCTCCTCCATTCACAGCTGTAAGTAGGATATTGTTCTTTTTACATGGTACTTTCATCTAGTGTCACAACCCAAGAAAAGAAGGAACCCTGATGATCTCACACTTAGATTTTCATCTCTATGGAAAATGACTTTGAATAATGATTTATTCTTTTTTTCCAAAATGGGGTCAAAATTGTTGTCAAAGATACCCAGAATCTCCTACCGTGCCCATTTCAGACACTGCTTATGGTTGTCAGAGTGAAAGAGCACAATAAAATGTGGGGACATTGTCTGTGTAGGGATGGGGATAGATAGGGAAGTGGAAGTGGGAGATAGGGATAGACAGGAAAGTGGGGGATGGGGATAGACAGGGAAGTGGGGGATG